AAGCAGCTTTAGTGAGGTGTACGTGACACACAGTATAACGCACATATATAAAGTGTGTAACTTGACTTTTGACCTACATATGTCCTTGTGAGATAGTGAACACATCTCATCATTCCCCAAGTGTGCTCAAGCCCCTCCCCTCCCCCAAGCAAACACTGCTCAGCTTTTGAGATCTCACTACCCACCACAAATGCCAGGTTGCAGCGCCTGTGGAGGGCACGTGTGTTTTCTCTGTGGCTTCTCGCAGTGAGGGTAGCTCAGGGAGTGGGAGGAGCATCCTTGAAGCCTTGCTCAAGATTTCAGGTCCAGAGAGGGGGCAAGATGGCCGAGCCTGGCCCACAAGCCTGAGAGCTGGTTGCCAGGGCTGGAGAGCAGCAGTCTTCGGCGGGGCGGGGGCGTGGGGGGGCTGTAGTGAAAGGTGAGGGCCCACCAGCAGCACTCACTTTGGCACACACTCCGGTTCTTGCCAAGTCGCCCTTCTCCCCCACCTCTCCATCATGAGAACCCCCGTTTGATTAGGTGTAAGCATGTGGCCAGCCAAGAATCTTGGACCCCCCCGCCCCGCAGGGAAGGGTGGCTCCATGATACGGAGGCCAATCTGCTCCATGGGGTTTTCAGGAAACCCAGTGGCTTTCTCATAAAAAGGGAGAGATCAGATGCACATGCTTTCTGACCAGCCCTGCCCTGCCTATCACCTAGAAGGAGGATGTGGCCCCCAGAGGCAAAGCAGGCATCTTTGGGGCATGTGGCTAAAATCCCCATCATGAGGGAAGTAAAGGCTGAGAGAGCAGGAGCCTGGGTCCCTGGTGACATCCCGGGGCCACCATGGCAGCCCTGGCTGCTGGTTGTGGGAGAAGAGTAATCCCCATTTGGGAAAGCCATGGGATTCTCCAGTTTCAATTCCATGCCGTTCCTGGCTGACAACAATGACGCATCCCCAAACCAGGAGAGTGGTTTCGACTTTGGAAAACTGAACACCCCACAGATACAAGCACTCATTCCTGAGGCCACTCATGTTTGGCAGGGTGCCCCTTGGGCTCAGCAGGGAGCTGTCGTCTTCAGTCTGAGAGCACTCCTCATGACAGAATCAGCCCATTTCAGGGGCAGAGCCTCCAAGACCCTGGCGTTCCGTTCTGTTTGTTTAAACAGCTTTATTGAGGTGTAATCTACATGCCACAAAATTCCTGTTTCCAGTGGACATTTTTGTTATTTTTAATAAATTTACCTAGCTGTGCAACCATGACCAAAATTCAATCTTAGAAATATCTCTATCACTCTAAAGAGATCCCGTGTGTCCATTAGCAGTCACTCCCAACCCCCCCACCCCCTCACCCCTACCCTCTACCCCCACTGACCCTCCCATGCCCACCCCCAGCCACCACTAATCTACTTCCTGTCTCTAGAGATTTCCCTGTTCTGGACATTTCGTATAAAAGGAACCATTAACACTATATGGTCTTTTGTGTCTGGTTTCTTTCACTCAGCATGATGCTTTCAAGATTCATCCATGTTGTAGCATGGATCACTGCTTCCCTCCTTTTTGTGTATTAATAATACTCCACTGTATAAATACACCACATTTTATTTATCCACTCATCAGTCAATGGCCGCTGGGTTGTTTCCACTTTTTGGCTCTTGTGAATAATGCTACTGGGAACATTTGTGTACAAGCATGTGGACGTATGCTATTTCTCTTGCGTAGATACCTAGGAGTGGATTTGTTGGGTCTTATGGTAAATTGATGTTTAACTTTTTAAGCAACTGCCAAACTGTTTTCCAAAGTAGCTGAACCACTGGACATTCCCACTAGAGGTAGAAGAGTGTTGCTTTTGCTCTGAAACCTTGAAAGCAGTTGGGGTTTTTAGTTGTCTTGATTATAGTTATTCTAGTAGGTGTGAAATGGTACCTCGTTGTGGTTTTGATTTGTGTGCCTCTAGTGACTAATGTGTTGAGCATCTTTTAATGTGTTTATTGTCCATTTGTATGTCTTCTTCAGTGAGATGTCTGTTCAAACCTTTTGACCATTTAAATTGGATTATTTATCTTCTTAATGTTGAGTTTTAAGATTTCTTTTTTTTTTTAAAAGATTTTCTTTCTTTATTTGACAGAGAGAGACACAGCGAGAGAGGAAACACAAGCAGGGGGAGTGGGAGAGGGAAAAGCAGGCTTCCCGCGGAGCAGGGAGCCCGATGCGGGGCTCGATCCCAGGACCCTGGGATCATGACCTGAGCCAAATGCAGACGCTTAACGACTGAGCCACCCAGTCGCCCCAAGTTTTAAGAGTTCTTTATATGTTCTGGATACAAGTCCTTTATTAGATAATAATCAAACTACTATTAGATCATATTATTAGATAATAAATATATTATTATATATCAACATATAATAATATTATTGGATATTATTTGTAAATATTTGCTCCCAGTCTGTGGCTTGCCTTCTTACTTTCTTAATGGTATAAAATTCTTTTTTTTTTAAGATTTTATTTATTTATTTGACAGAGAGAGACACAGTGAGAGAGGGAACACAAGCAGGGGGAGTGGGAGAGGGAAAAGCAGGCTTCCCGCAGAGCAGGGAGCCCGATGCGGGGCTCGATCCCAGGACCCTGGGATCATGACCTGAGCCAAAGGCAGACGCTTAACGACTGAGCCACCCAGGCGCCCCTAAAATTCCTTTTTTTTTTATTAAGTAAGCTCTCTGCCCAACGTAGGGCTTGAACTCCCAACCCCAAGATCAAGAGTCGTGTGCCCTACCCATTGAGCCAGCCAGGTGCCCCTAAAGTTCCTTTTTTAAAAAAGATTTTATTTGTTTGTTTGTTTAGAGCATGAGTGGGGAAAGGGGCAGAGGGAGAGGGAGAGAGAGAATCTCAAGCAGACTCCACACTGAGCACGGAGCCCGACTTCCACAAAGGAACTTGCTTAGATTTTGGTATTATACCAAGTCTATGGATGAATTCAGGAAAAATTGATATTTTCACACTACCATTGATTCCAAGTCACCACAAACCCTCTCTGAAGAGATTATAAAAATTAGCAACACACCCCAACCTGCATTATGAAGTCAGTATCACCGTGACACCCAAGCCTGACAAGAACTTTGCAAAAACAAACATCTAGCTCTCTCATGCACAGAAGATACAAGTATCCTCAAAAAATTTAGGAGAGCAAATCCAACAATATATAAAAAAGAAAATATATCATTTTAGAAATCTTATTAACATTTTGAAAAAATTAGTCCATGTAATTCATTATATTTACAGGAATAAAAAGAAGAAATGACTTATTATCATTTAGGTAGGTACAGGAAAGATATTTAATTAAAGTAGACACCCATTCATGATTTAAAAAAAAAAAACTCTCAGAAAACTAGGAAAAGAGTGGACTTCCTCAAGTTGATAGAATCCTACAGCAAATATCATACTTTCTTCCTTGATGTCTCAAAGGAGCCAAGGAATAAATGGCAAAAGAATCGGGAAGGAAAAAATAGTTTTTATTTGCAGATGACTAGATACATACAGTTTAAAGAACCTAAAAGCTGTGTGTATGTCTGTATGCATATATTTGAATTAATAAATTGATTCTGAAATTCACAAGGATGGAGCCTGATTTGTCCCCAGGCCACAGTCTGAGAAAACACCCTGCTGTTTAATGGTGGCATTTGTTGAAGCTTGTTGTGAAACCAGCCCCAAAGTTTTCACTTTGACCATGCCCACCAGAAACTAAAATGAATTCACATAACTCATTGATGCTTTGTACGCAACAGAAACTCATCCTGGCCTGCTCTGGAATGGGGACTTCCAGTGAACTGACATCTTCTGCAAGTGTCCTAGATTAGCGTCCTGCTGCTGCATAGTTACCTGCCCCAACAGTTCAGGGTGAAAGAACCAACACACACTTCTATCACAAAATATCTGCTGCTCATGTAAAAAATTAATTTCAGACAAGGAGACAGTCTGTATGAAAACAGTAGAGGTTGGTAGGGGGTTGGGCACAGGTGAGTTCATTCCAAAGATCACCCTGGAGAGATGTTCAGAGACCTTAAAAATCATGCTAGGGACTTTGGCTTTTTTCCTGAGGACACTGTGAGCCACAGCACATTCTGAGCAGGGGAAGGTCATGGTCAGATCTGTGCTTTAGAAGAAAGACTCTTCTGGCTACCTTGTGGGGGCTGTGTTGGCGGGGGAAAGGGTGGGAGAGGAAGAATCCTGGATCAGGGCAGGGGCTGCAGGGAGGGAAAGGAGGACGTAGAAGGCCCCAGGAGAGACACTCCCTTTGGGTCAGCACCCAGTGTCAATCCCGCCTTGATTCTGGCATTGGCTGGACAGGGCCTGCCCCCCTGTTCCCTGCACCATAACCTCAGTTATAGCTTTCCAGTTAACACAATGGGTCCACATTCTCAGAGTTCTCACTTAGCTCACTTATCAAGATGTAGATGTGATAAACCTGAGTGGTGACTCTAAACTTGTCTGCATGTTTGGATCTTCTATAACACAATGTTTTAATAAAGAAAGACTATGAAAATCACAAATATGGTTGCCGACCCCCCTGAAACCAACAGATGTTCTGATAATGAAAGCTACCAGGATGTGGAAGGAAGAAGGGCGAAGAAAAACAAGGAGAGGGACATCTAGAGGCGCAGAGGGTCAGTGCGGGCGGCGCCTCAGACTGTTCCGGAAGATATAAAGGGGAAATGGAGAGCAGGAAATGCATAAGATGTATAAAGTGAGGGGCTCGTCAAGACCACCCTTACTTCTGACACCAACGGCAAGTTCGAGGCGGGCCCACAACAACCCCCAGTTTCGATAACTTGCTAGAAGGACTCACAGAACTCACTGAAAATTGTTATACTCCTAGTTACAGTTTATTACAGTAAAAGGATACAGATTATAATCAGCCAAGGGAAGAGGCACGGAGAACACAACCCAGGAGAATTCCCAGTGTGAGCTTCCAGCCATCCTCTTTCTATGGAGTCATGGGCAGAACTGACTTCTCCCAGCAACGATGAATGACAAACGTATGGAGTATTGCCAACCAGGGAAGTTCACCTGAGCCGTGGCGACCAGGGGTTTTAGTGGGGATGGGACACAGAGACCAGATTTACCAACTGTGTCTGACCTTAGTTTCTAATCCTTCTAAAGGCTGAACTGATACCACATGGTCCAAAGCCCCCACCATAAATTACATTGCTAGTACAGATAGATTATCTGGCCGGGCCCAAGGCTCCAGGTAAACAAAGGTGCTCTTATCTGGCAGGACATTCCAAGGGCAAAGACCAGATATCTGTTTGGGTAAGGTTAATCCTTAGATGCACAGACAAGGAAAATTCCCAGGACTAAAGAGAGAAACAGGGTTCAGATAGAAGGGTATAAAATAAGGGAAACTCACTCATAGGCCCATTCTGGTGCAATGTCAGTGCCACAGGGATGTCAACAAAGCCCCTCTGCCCATTACAGGTAATGAAGGTCTCCAAGTCGCTGAGGAATGTGATTTTGTTTTTTGGGTTTTTGTGTGTGGGTCTTTTTTTTTTTTTTTTTAAGATCTTATTTATTTGACACAGAGAGAGAGAGAGAGCACAAGCAGGGGGAGCAGCAGAGGGAGAGGGAGAAACAGGCTCTCCGCTGAGCAGGGAGCCCGAGGAAGGGCTCGATCCCAGGACCCCAGGATCATGACCTGAGCCGAAGGCACATGCGTAACCCACTGAGCCACCCAGGTGCCCAAGGAGTATGATTTTGAACCAGTAATTCTGGCCCAGAAACTATCATCTAGTCCAGTGTGAAAGTGGAAAAAGATATTTCAAATATGCGAAGATTCATAATACTTAGGTACCAAGCACCCTTTCTGAGAAAGGTACTTAGGGAGATATTTCAGCCAACCTAGAATGGAATTCACAGAGTTGGTTCCTCAAGAGGAGGAACAGTGTGAAGGAGAACGATGAAAAGACTGGATGAGAGGACAGCCCCTCAGCAGCCCAGAAAATAGCGTACAGGGCCACAGCTGACTATTTAATAAAGATAATAGGGGGAAAAAGAGAGAATAGGAGCAAAGAGCTGGATGGTCTTGGTCACGTGGTCTTGGTCACATGGTGAGCTAGGCATTGGTGGATCATATCCGGCGTTTGCGGTGAGAAACACCACTCTAAGGAAAACTAAAAAGCGCATACAGTAAAATAAAACTCTAAATATGAGAAGACTGGGGCGCCTGGGTGGCTCCGGTGGTTAAGCAACTGCCTTCGGCTCAGGTCATGATCCTGGAGTCCCGGGATCGAGTCCCGCGTCGGGCTCCCTGCTCAGCAGGGAGTCTGCTTCTCCCTCTGACCTTCCTCCCTCTCATGCTCTCTCTCTACCATTTTCAATCTCTCTCTCTCTATAAATAAATAAATAAATAAATAAAAATCTTTAAAAAATGAAAATAAAAAATAAATAAATATGAGAAGACTGGGCACCTGGCTGCCTCAGTGGGAAGAGCATGCAACTCTTAATCTCAGGGTCGTTAGTTCAAGCCCCATATTGGACATGGAATATACATAAATAAACCAATAAATAAAAATAAGTATGAAAAGACTAAAACGTGGCATGACATGTAGAAATGTTTAGAGCCACCAATTGTTACTGCTTTAGAATGCAGAAACAAAATTACATCTTCGTTATGGGTTCACAGCGATTAGTATTTACATAACCTTAATTATATACACACTATATTTTCATTTTCAGACTCAGTCTATGGACAAAGCACTGAAGACTTATTTTAACCTTAGAAAGACACCATGGCCGGGCGCCTGGGTGGCCCAGTCGGTTAAGCGGTTGCTTTTGGCTCAGGTTGTGATCTTGGGGTCCTGGGATTGAGCCCTGCGTTGGGCTCCTTGCTCAGTGGGCAGTCTGCTTCTCTTCTCCCTCTGTGCTCTCTCTCTCTCTCAAATAAATAAAATCTGAAAGAAAGAAAGAAAGAAAGAAAGAAAGAAAGAAAGAAAGAAAGAAAGAAAGAAAAAAGAAAGAAAAAGAAAACTAAGACACTGTGGCAATGTAACAGTAATAGTATGGGGGACTGACCACAGGAGGTGGGGGAGTGGAGGGCAGGGTAGGGCAATTAATATGCTTATGGGTACACTTGTCAGGAAGTTCAGGCAATAGGCATATTACCTACAATGACAAAGATTACCAATAAACAGTAAAAAATTAAATTCAAATCACTTGTAAAAATTGAGAGTGGGGAAGGACAGGATATAGAATATGTGATAAAGTAACATAAGGGGCAGATGGCAGTAGAACATTCAAAACAGAATATTTTTTAAAAAATTCAACTTAGTGAACCAAGAAATGGAGGTATAGACTTGTTATTTGGCATCGTGGGGTTAAACTAGAAGAAATCAATGCAGGAAAAACCAAAAGTGGTTGGGCTGGGAGCAGGACTGAAGCTGGAGGTGGGAAGGCAGACTTCCCAGTCTGCCTCCTTCTGTGTAGTCTAAATCATTTCCCCCATGTGCATGAGTTACTCTTCTACCAAAAAGGAAGGAAAGGTAATCAGGTCAGCTGTGGCAGGGGTAAAGGATAAGATGTTTTCAGAAATTCATTTCTTAAGGAGCTCGAGGACCCGTATTTTCGGGGTCAGTATCTCTGTATCTATGGATGGGTATTAATTATTCCCGGAGTGACTCAGGGGTTTCAACACCCAAGCTCTGCTTGTGTTGTGTTTATGGACGATGACACGCTCCTAGTCCTTATTCACCTAAATAAGTGATTAGGTAAAGCAGTTGTTAGCACAGCCTGGCTCAAGCCCCGAGCTCCTTCCGAAGCCCCAAACCCCATAGCCAACACTCCTCGGGAGATGGGAAGTGTCAGCGCAACCTTCAGGGGAGGCGGGGAGGATCCTGGCTGGCCCTCGAGCGCACTGGGGAAGGAGCTTGGAGCAAGCTTTACACCTGCTTTTTTGTGACCCCCCCCCCGCGGTGCGGCCCCCACTCAGGACCTCCCCTCCAGAGCAGCATTTCTCATCCCTGGCTGCTCGCCAGAATCTTCTGGACGCTTTCGAAAGATGCCCTTCTTGCCACCCCAGGCCAGATAACCCACTCGGCCCCTGCTTCGGTCCTCTTTAAGGCGCCCGCTCCCTAACGCCGGCGATTCTGGCTGTGCGTGTCCCCATTGCTCCGGCCGGGGCACCGAGGCGTCGAGGGGCAGGGATTGCAGCGGCTCCCGCGCGAAAGATCCCTTCCCGCTCTTCCCCCGCAGTGTACCACTGGGCGGAGATGCGGGCCAAGATGCGCCTCATGGGCTTCAGTGCGCACGCCGTCAAGCCGCTGAACGAGGACGCGGCCGCCGAGCTGGGCGCGGAGCTGCTGGGCGAGGCCACCATCTTCGTCGTGGCCTGCGGCTGCCTGGTGCTGGAGTACTGGCGCCACCAGGCGCAGCGCCGGCGCGAGGAGAGAGAGTGGCGCGCCGCCTGGGACGCGATGCGGGACGAGGTGGACCACCTGGCGCTGGCGCTGGAGGCCCTGCAGGATCGGGTGCAGGCGGCGCCGCTGCAGAGCGCGGTGGTGGAGCTGCAGGCGCAGATGCGGGAGGTGCGCGCCCAGCTCTGCGTCCGGGACCCGCCGTCCGCACCCCAAGCAACGCCCAAGGAATAGGGGGCCGGGGGACCTTGGTCTTCGATGTGGCTGTGGTCTGGGCTGTGACGTCTCCAACATGACCTTCTGTCCACACTGTCCCTTCCTGAACTGGCCCAGCTAATACCACCCTGCCCTTTTAGGGGCAGAAGGGAGGCTGGACTGGGGCTGAGGCAACCGGGCTTTTGGTCATCTCCCTACTAACCTGCCCAATGGTACCTTCCGCAGGGGCTCCTCCACCCACTAGTGGAATGTTCCAACAGGAGTCCCATTGCCCCCCCCACCTCACCCCCCACCCCTAGTCCACTGATTTACCACTTTGTAATGGGAAGACATTGTCTTCCATTGGATCCCACCCACCCACTACTAGGCGGGCCAGCAGGACACACGGACCTAGTTAACTCATTCTGTCACTCACACCTCCACTTATCTGAGTGGCTCCCCGCCCATCCATTATCCATTATACCAGAACATCCTTTCCCCCTTCTTCATCGGCAAAGACCATTGTAAGGAAAATGCAAACTCCCAGGGGACTGTGGGCCCCATCATTTTCCATCTACCTCACTTTGGAGGGGGCAGAGAAGGTTGGATCTTGGAGTGACTAAGCTCGAGCGAGATCCCCCATGGCTCCTGCCTTCAGTCCACCATCCATTGGTGCTTCAATTGGTCATCCCCTCCCATGGATCATCCCAACAGATACCCCCACTTTAGTGTGTGCCATAACCCATGGAAAGGTTGGGCGGGGTCTCCTCGCCTTCTGTGGTCTGTTCCAGCAGGACTTGATCCTCTGGGTAGAAAAATCGGTCCTGCCTAGGGATGAACCATTCTGTGTTTTGGTCTCAGCTTTGTTTACCTGTCTGAAGTTCTGGACCTACTGTTGTCCACTGTCCTCTACTAGCCCCTCATAGGAACCCCCACCTGTTCCCCTACTACATGAGGGCACTTGTCACATCCCTCATCCAAACCTGCTCTTGAGTACTCAGGGATTCCTTCTTCCTTCTTGCCTTTGTACTGGTCACCCAGCCCGCCCTCACCCTCCTTCCTACAAAGCTTCCTCCAGTGGGACCACCTGCCCCTCAGCCCTGAAGTTCCCCACCCCCATCCAAATGGAATATTCCAACCAGGCAGGGTTATCTACCCCACCTACCCCCTGCCCACCCACTGAACCACTGAAGGGGGTGTGTATGAGCTCTGTGATTTCTGAATTCTATTTTTTTAAGACTCTAAGTATTTTATAATTAAAGGAGCTCTGAAGTAAAGAAGTTATCTTTAAGAATGTGTCTGAGAACCATGGCGTACATCTGCAAAATGGGTATAAGGCTCATTGGTTTTAGCAGAGAAGCTGGGAGGATTCCCACAGGAACCAGAGTCCATCCTATAAGGTGTTTCTCAGATGGGGAAACTGAGGCCCCCGGGGTAGCAAAGGGACTTGCCTAATGCCACACAGTGAGGGACTGTCCTTAGGTTTCTCAGGGTGGTAGATTGGTTGCCGGAGCGTAGGAACTGGAACAGGTGCAGGGTGGGAAGGAAGAGGAGGGTAAGGTGAATTACTATGGGAGGGGTACACCCCCCCCATCCTCATCAGAGCAGCCCTTTGAAATCAATCCAGAAATCTTCACATTTATAAAAAACTGGCAGATTTATTCTGTCGGGGCCCATTTTCAAGAAGCTAAAGATGAAGGTGGGAGAGGAGAGGTTTCCTCCCCTTTTCCTTGCTCCCTCATCTTATTTTCCCCAGGGGGTAAAAATGGCCTGGACCCCAAAACCTACCCAAATAAAAAACCAAAAAACTGAGGTTCCAAAAAGTTATAGCATCTTAATTCCTCATAGAAAAGGGGAAGGAGCCAAAGGGAAGGGAGCTCCCTGGGGTGGGGGTGAGGGAGGTGCCCCCAGCCTGGTGGGTCATCTGCCCCTTAAATAGCTGCCCCAAATGGGACAAGCCTGGGGTACAGCATTTAAAAACTCCCCACACCCCTATTTTATCAAAACCAAAAAGAAACAAAATTTCCCTTTCCCCCAACCTAAATATATATATATATTTTTTCTTAAAAAAAAATTCGAAGGCATTAAGCGTTAAAGTGAATCTAGAACAAGGGAATGTGAAATTCCCTCCTTCCTTCCCCCTTACTGTGGGGTTAATTGGTACATCCCCAGCAGAGGAACCAGCCCCAAGGGGATGGCGGAGGGGAAGGACCAAAGGGAGCAAAGGGTGGGGGCCTCCCCAGCCAATCAGCAGCCAGTATGGGTGTGGGCGTGGAGCCAAGGAAGCCACACCCCTTTGGAATTTTCCAAGTAGGACGGGGAGTGGGGAAGATGCATTCCTGTGTAGTCTTCAGCCAATTCCAAGTCGAGGCAGGGAAAGCGGGGTGACAGGCGGGGTGTGCAGAAAGGAGATATGAGATCTTCCAGGGCCCTGTGGTCAGGGGGAACCCCGCTTCCTCAGCTCCTGGACAAACGCTGGAAGAAAAGAGGGGCAGAGGTCAGGGGCAGAGGAGCTTCTTCTGCCTTCCCTTCCCATACAGGACCCTTTCCGGGAGACATGATGCCTCCAAAGTAAATGTTTAAAATAAAAAACAACCTCACCTTCAATGATTTCCTCTTTTACTTTCTGTAGTTCCTTCCTCACCTCTTCCAGAAGCTCCTGGAAATAATGGGTGCAACCAATGAGGAAGGGCGCCTGGACTTGCAGAAATGAAGCCGCCCTTTCTTCATGACCGAAGAGCCAGAGGAAGAAGGTTCAAGACTCCCCGCTATCCCCCAACACACACACACACACACACACACACACACACACAGTGACATCACTGATAAGGCCACAGAGTGACTGGAGGATTCTAGGGGAAAATTCTGGATCCTTGGAGCCAGATGAAAAGGACTGGAGAGCATCCAGTACTAGGGCTGGCAAATACATTCCACTCTCCTGCCAATTCCAATTGGTGCTGGCTACCTGGGGCTAGTGTGCTGGAAAAGACTCTGGGTACTCATCAGGAATTGAGTGCAGTGATAGATTAGTAAGGTCTGTCCCCGGCACTGGAAAAAGGAGGCTGTGGTATGTGTGTCATCCCTGATCTGATTCAATCTCTCCCTTTCTCAAGCTGGAAAACTGAGGTTTCGGAGGCCTTTTCATAGAATCACAGGACAGGTCGGTGTTAAGAGTTTGGACCCAGACCTCCTTTCTTCCTGTGGCCCCTTTCTAGCCCCCAAACTTCCCCCTCCGGGCCCCTCCCCAAGCTACCTGTTTCACTCTCTCCAGGTCGGACTCATCACTGGAGCTGGGCGTAGAGGGATGGGCCTCGGAAGTGGTCCCAGAAGAAGACTTCATCCTAGGAGAGTCGGTGTGGTTTGGAACAGAAACGAGGTTAGAGAGAGGGTCTGCCTCCCCTGCTTCCCGTTCCGGGGGTCGCATTGTGTTCCTTCCTACAAATTTGGCAAATCTCATCTATTTCGTGGGGAGGGGGCAGCATGGATGGCCCACCTTGGTAAGGTTGTGCTGTTCTTCTCCCAAGGTCTCCGCACAGGTTCTGGGGGAAAGGCGACAAATCAGGAAGATCAGGGACAAGGAATGCCCCGCCTCCATCTTTCCCCCCAGCCCCATCAACCCCTGTTCAAAGAACCTTCTTAGGAGACTACAATCTCCAGCATTGTTTGTACAGACTCCCGCCCTGAGGGGGCGTTCCACGTGAGAACAGGGCACCCTGACTTAAGAGTTCCAGCAGCTAGACTGACTGGCTCACTCACCACTTGGGGCTGGGACTCTGGCCTCTGGCTCCTCCTGCTGGTGGGAAATAAAACTGTCATTAGACTGACGGCTCATTCTCCTCCTCCGGCTTCAAGCCCCGCCCATTCCTATCACACACCCGGCCCCCCCCCAGTAGCCCTGCCCAAATGGTACAGCCTAAGGTGCGTATGGCAGGAAGAGCCCCTAACTCACATTGGCAGATTCATCCTTGGGGGGTTTCTCCCCAACTTGTGTGGCTTTCCTTCTGCAGGAGGGACAGGCAAAAACAGATGACTTCAGCCCTCCCTCAGCCACTCAGTAATTCTTACCAGAGTTCTAGAAAGGTGGAGTCTAAGGTGTAGAGTTCTGGAATTCTCCAAGGCTAAGGAAACTGGAGTTTTTAGAAATTAACCAGAGTGCTGTTCTCCAACTGGGGTGGGGGTTTACGAGTCTCACATTTGGGAATCACAAAATCCTAAGGGTGGGAGGAAGTCTCTGTCTTAGACGGCTGGGATTCTAGGAATCTGAGTTTCCAAGATTCTGAGGCAGGATCTCCTCAGGGGAGACCCCCTGAGGTCCTAGAATTCTGGGTTTCAGAACATTCTGGAGACTACCTAGGTGGTTCCAAACCTCAGCCATCTCAGGAGAATGGAATCTCCAGCATTATATCCCAAACCTGCCTGTCAACGAGGGAACTTTCACCCAAAGAAACAAACCAGGCGGGAATCTGAGCCCTCCCCCAACCTCGCCCTACTGAACCGAAATCTCCAGGTGGTAACTGCTGGTCTGAGGGGTTTCTTCCCAGAGCTTTCCAAGGCACTCATGGCTCCAGGCTCAGGCTCACCTCCGGGCCAGCATGGCGTTCATCTCTTCCATCAGCCCCCCACCCGTGCTCCGACTGCTCTCTGCTTTGGGGGCTGAGGGCCCCCCTGAGGCCTCCTCCTGCTGGAGAAATTACAAAGAGGAGGGGGCTTTATGGGCGGGCCTCTTGGCCCTCCCCAGCCCTCCTGTGACACCCCTATCCCCAGCAACTCTGGCCTCATCCCATTATTCCATCAGGGCCATAACCCCACGTCCTGCCCCACATGGCCCCCTCACCTTGCTGACTTTCCTGAGTTTGGCTCCAGCAATGGCTGCCGCAAGCCCGGGGGCCCCTGTTCCCCCACCACTGGGGCCTTGTGCTGTGGGGAGAGGGGGCGCAGGGGGTGGGCCTCCCCCTGCTCCGTGCCCTGCGGCCGAGACCCCTGAGGGGGCACCAGGGGGTGGGGGGGGACCAGGAGGAGGAGGAGGTCCTGGAGGTGGA